TATCCTTGATTCAGCAAGCAACACAATTACACATCTTGCCCATTTCTCAGTCTAGCTAAGTAGCAAATTTTGAAGTTTCCAGTGGCATCTATCATTGTATCTAAGAACAAGAAGCAGTGTTGCTGTAAAATTAAAATAAAACCCCAGAGTGTAATGTAAAAATTCTGTTTCTTGAGAAAAAAAAAAAAAGGCAGAAAAAAAAGCAATTACATTAACTGGCACTCTAAACTGATGTTTCCCAACTAGTATAGGATTTTGCTAGCAGAACCCTCCAACACTGCTTGCAGCCACAGGAAGTTTAAAAATATAAATAAAGTTCAGATGTCTGCCACTGTTCATCTCTGCCTGGGTTACAGCAATGTATGGGTATTGCCCGCAGCATGTTACTTGTTCAGTATTGTTGCCTGTGGCCAACAGAGGTTCCAAATATTCCTGTGCAATGTGTCCATACATGTCCTTTCAGTCAGACTTGCTGTGAAGAGCATGAAGGTATGCAAAGTTTGTAATCAAGTTGCTTTATTTGCCATTAAATATATTAGTTTTAGAAATTTTGAACTGCAGTACACATTTTACTGCAAATCAGATGAGTTAATTGGACCGATTTTTTAATGGTGCCTGTCAGACCCTTTTAATTCAAGGCAGAAAATTTTGGAAGCTGCATTCTTTTTTTTTTTTTTTCCCTCCCCGTCCTCTAATATATTCAGTCTCTTTGAAGTTTTTTTATATCAAATACATGCCTAAATAATTTAAGGTGAATTCCAAGCTGCCTAATTTAAGTATCTGCCCGATTTGGGTGAGTCAGTGCCTGGCTCCTGACACCGCTGGAGTTCGAGTCCGCTGGACGCCCGCGTCCCCCGTGCCGTCCCTCTAGAGGGCAATCCTGCCCGTCCCATCCAGCCCAGCTGAGCCCGAGCCAGCCCGGAGGAACCCGCAGGAAACATGAGACTCCATCCATTTGGCTGTCCCCAGGGACAAGCACCCTTCCAGCAAAGGCTGGAACCACTTTCGGCTGAAGAAATTGCACTGTGTTGCAGAGAACAGCCGCGTGGCTCTGGGCTGCCCTGCGGGAGCGGGCAGCTCCCCTGCCTGCTGCGCACACGGTGTGGCCAGCAACAGGAACCACTGAAAGCCGGCCCAAGAGCAGCAGGAAGGGCTCTGGCTACCCGTGTGGCCTTGTCTTTTTGCACAAGGGGCTTGTTTGCTGATTAGAGTCTTAACAGAAAATGTATATAAGTTTCAAGGAGCTGGCTCTACACCCCACTGTTTCTCATCTCCTTTCCTTCCGGGCTCCATAACTCTTGTGTCTGGCTGCACAGTGGCCTAGTTTCAAGATGTGGTGAAGTGATAGACGATGTACTAGTACCATAGCAATACTTTTTACAGAATGAAACTGCCAAAATTAGTTCCTGCTTGAAAGTGGTTTTGACATCTCATGCCACATCTCTGCCTACTGAGTGCTGTAGGCTATTGCAAAGATTTACAAGAAGGAAGCCTTGCTGAAGGTTTCAAGTTGGATTCTTGCTTATCCCAAATGTTTGCAGCGCAGGAAGCAAAAAGGCTTCTAAATTTAGGTTCATTCTTCTGCTCCTTGTCCTCGTACCAAGCACTAGCACACTGAGCTCTTCCGAGTCCCAGCTCAGGGACAAGCAGTGCCAGCTCTGCCACCTCCCTGCCAGGCACCGTGGTTCCTCACCCCTGCCCAGGGGAATCTCTGGCTGACTGGATCCTTGGAACTAACTCAGAGAAGGCATTCTCCGGGGAGGGCCGGCACCTTAGAGTTTCTGCAAGTAAAGGTCTAGGGACCTGCCACAGCCCACCCTTAGAGAAGTCCATACAAGTGCAAACTGTGCTTTCAGCTTCCCTGGGGTTTTGAGCACATCGGTGCTGGTGACTGAAATCTCCTGCAGTTTGCTCGAGTCAGTAATGGCTCAAGAGCAGTGGTGATTTTTTACTGAAGAGTTCTCTCGCTAGAGCACCACTACTCCCCTCCCTGGTGACCTGGAATTTTTCACAGATTGCCGCAGTGTCACAGAGTGGCTTTTGAGCCAAAGGCACAAAGTAGGGAAAAGATGAACATTTGAATAAATGACGTGTATAGCACAAGTTCAAATGGTGAAAATAAATGGGACTTGTCTGGCTGGGAAGCCAATCTAAGCTTGCTACCTGCATTGCCTGGAGACAACTTGGCTCGCTCCCTTTCCATTGAATACTGTTATTGCAACAATATGCTCGTGCTACTTTATGCTTAGCTGAGGCCCTTCAGGTCTCCTTCTGGGCTTGAGTCCCTAGTAGCTACAACGCCTCAGGCCAGCACTATAGAGCAGAAATGAGGTGAAGTTCAAACTGGCAAGGTATTTTCTCAAGGGCTCTGAAATTGAGTTTGGGATTCCACTGGCTTGCTCTTGCCTTATGGTTGCCTTTCCCTAGCCCCACTAAGTAAAGCATTCTAGTAAAATCCAACTGAGATCTAGCACTACTTAGCAGCTGGGCCGGGTGTTAAAACACGGCACCCTTTAAGAAAAGCCTCAATTATCCTTACGATAAAGGAGGGGGCAAATCACGCCGTAAACGTCGGTGCTCATAGCGCTAACAGGCTCAGAAAAGTTCGCGGGAAGTGCTCTTTATCTCCAAAGAGAGAATGATGCGCTAACTGCAGAACGCTTGTCTTGCTAATAAATGTATCCTTCGTTGGAGTGATTCATCGGAGGAGTTACAATGCTGGTAGTTCCCGCTTTTAAGGGCTCCTTTTAACAGCTGTCTATCAACAGCAATAATAAAAGGAGCAGTCAAAGTCAAAATCAACAAACTATTATCTGTTAGGATTATTCATGGATATGACACTGTAAACACACCAAAAGTCCCAAATACTAAATTTAGAAGAGCGACATAAGTGAAAGAACAAAATTTTAGAGAACTGCATCTAAAGAAAGCGCCAAAAATCTGAAATGGTGAGGATTTTTTATTTTAAGAGGCACTCTTTGTATTGTTCATTTCAGAGGATACAGCATGTGATTAGGAAAGTGCTGAGCTATTTATGGGGCAGATTTATCTGAGATTTTTGTCCAGTTATTTCTCAGTTGACTTACATGTCTTTGTATTGCTTCTGAATTAAAAAAAAAAAAAAGCTTGAAATGTTTATCAGTTACATTCACAGCACTGCTCAGAGCTCACGAGTTCTACCTTCACATTTACTTGCCGCTTGCGCGGTGTGTATTTGCCTTGTAACTTCTATCAGATAAATCCTCCATGCTGCAGATGAATCCATCATGCTTCATGGCAGCATCAGCCCTCACCTACTTATTTTATAATAAACACCTTTTATAAACATCTTTAGACTAAACTTCTTTTATTCTGGAGAAAAAAAGAAAACGTAAAATGCCTACAATATAATTAGAGCACTTGGCTGTGTACTTTTATTAACAGCAAAATTAATCTATTTATTAGGAACGGCAGCACTGGCTGAGTTCATTGTGTAAGCAAAACATTTCCCAAAAAACTGCCAAGTTCCAAAGGTGTGTTATATATAGCCAAAAAACATAACTGCTAGAACTGGCCATAGGTTACAAAACCAGACTTCGCTCTCCCACTTTTTTTTAAAATTATTTTTTAATCTTTGGGAAACGGTTTGATTTTCTACAAGCTGTTAGTCGAAAGGGCACGTATGATTTGGCAGACTAATGTAACGTCTTATGTACTCCTGTCAATTTCAGGGAAGATAAAATCTACAAGGATACTTAATTAAAAAAGAATGCGATGTCTGTTTTATAAATCACTGCTGCCATCTGCCCCGCAAACGCGGAGCATGGAAGCGGTCTTGTGTTTAACCAGCGTGGGAAAAAGCCTGGATCTGAATTAAAGCAACATATTGAAATAACTTTTTTTAAAAAGTACAGGCTTAAGCCTAACGCCGCACCAAACCCCGGCGTCTCCTACTTGGCGCTATGCACAGAAACCCGCGTTAAGGTCACATAAAGGCGGGCGGGCAGCGCTCCCACGGGCGCTGCCAGCTCGGGGCAGCGCCGGGGGCCGGAGCCTGCCGGGCCGGGCAGAGGCGGCGTGCGGGTGTCACAGCCCCGTGTGTGCGAGGAGCTCTCGGCGCGTCCCCCAGCTCCGCCCGCAGAGCTGCCCCGGGCTGACCCGCGGGCACGCCGCCGTGGGGACGGATTTACGGGATCGGTGCGGCCGCGGCCGGGGTCTCGGGAGCAGCCGGGCGATCTCTCCGGCGGCGCGGCCGGAGCCCGGCTCTGCCTGGGGATGACCCGGATCCCCCCGGTTTTGTCGCAGCCTGGCGGTGGCGGCGGCGGGACGCGAGTGGCGGGTGGGTGTTGGGAAGGCGCGCGGGAGGATGCGGGACCGTGTGCCCGCGCGCGGCCACGTGCTCGCCGCCACCTGCTGTGGGCACGCGGCCCCCGCCGCCGCCTCCCCCGCGCGCGCACGTGCGCGGCCCGCCGCCTGACTCTCCACGCGAGACCGCGCGGAGCGGCCCGGCCGCGCAAAGGCCGGGGAGGGCGGCGGGGGGAGCGCGTTTTCCGCGCGGCGGCGGCCGCCGGCAGCGAGCGCGCCCCGTCCCCGCCGGTCCCGGCCCCGTCACGCGGGGCCGTGTCCCCGAGCGGCGGCGGCCCCACGTGCGGGCGCGGGGTCCAGGGCAGGGCGTGTCGCGGGGCAGGCGCGTGGCACTCCGGGCGGCGGGGCCTCTGCCCGCGCGGCACCGAGTGGGCGGCGGGGCGGGCGCGGCGCGGGGGCGCGCGGGGTCTCCAGTGGGAACCGCGCGCGTTCCCAGTGGCAGCGCCGGGGAGGGCGGGGGGTGGGGAGCCAGGGGACGGGGGAGGAGCGGGCCGCTCTCCCCCCCCACCCCCGCTCCCTCCCTCCCCTGCCCCTGCCCCGGGGCGGCGGGTGGCGCTGGCCGCGGCGGGTCGGGGCTCGGTGTCCTTGTGCGGAAATGACACACGGTCCCGTCACGTCACGCGAGAGCGCAGCGCGCGGACCCTCGCACACAAAGAGCGGGGGGGAAGCGCGGGCTCCAGCGGCGGCCGCTCCAGCCGCCCCCGCCGCCCCGGGGCTCCCGTGGCCCCGCGCGGAGCAGAGGTAAGTCTCGCCACCGCCGCTGGTGGGGACGGGCGCCGTTCCACGCACCCCACGGCGAGCGGGGAGCGCCGCCCCGGCGGGTGGGGGAAGAACGGGGAGGGGGGGGCCGAGCGGGGGAGGCGCGGGGCCGGCCCCTCCCCCGGCCGCCCGCGGGCCGGGGCCGCGCTGCCGGGGCCGCGCGGGCGGGGGTCTCTTTGTTCGCCGCTCCGAGCGGCGCTGCGGCGGCGCGGGTCGCGCGCGCCCGGCCCGGGTGCCTCCATCCGCGGGGCTGGGGGAGGGGGACAACGGGGAGCCGGTGGAGGGTGGGGGGGGCAGCGGAACGGTCACGCCGCCGTCACCTCCAGCCTCACCTTAACCCCTTCCCCCTCCTCCCCCGCGCGCCGGCCACATAGATCCGCCCGGGCAGGGTTCGGACCGGAAGCACCAACCGCCGCCTCCGCCTCGGGCTCGTGGGTCTGACCGCGGAAGCGGCCGCGGCCGCGCCGCGTGCGGTGCGCGCGGGGCGTCCCCCGTCGCAGCGCCCGCCCCTGGGCGGGGCCTCGCGCCGCCGCCGCCGCGCGCGCCGCTCCCACGTGGCGGCCGCTCCGTCGGCCCTCGGTAGGCGCGGGGGGAGCCCCGGCCGCGCCCGGGCCCGCCACGGGCCCGCCTGGGCACCGCCCCGGGGCCCCGCGGGGCCACGCGTGCCCCGGGAGCCAGCGCCGGGGTCAGGGTCCCGCCTGTCCTATCATGCACGGCGGGAGGAGCGGCCGGCGGGTGGTTGCGCTGGAATTCGTGTCGGTCCTCGCTTTGTCGCGCTCTGAGGGGCCCGGTGAAGGGCACTGCGGGGGAACGGGCCGCCCCTGGCCCGACCGCCTCCCGCCAAGTCTCCCGCGGCTTCCCCTGCCCCGATCAGCCGCTGCCTCCGCCCGGACCACGCTCACCGCCCCTGCCCCGATCACCGCCCGCTTCCCATGTACTGATCGCCCGCTGCCTCTACCCTACTTTTCCCTGCGGTGTGTCCACACAGCCCTTTGTAAATAGAAGGGAACAAACTCTGAACCAGCAGAATGCGAGCCGGCCGCAGGCCAGCAGCCATGTGACGGCTCCCACATAGCGTTGACGCAGTCCCAGAGTTTTTTTGGGTTGAAGTGTGAGTAGGGTTTGCGCTGCCACCCATAAACACAGAGTATGCCTGACCCATGGGGCCGAGACATCTAGGCAGGGAAAGGGAAACCTTTTCCCTGTTTCCAACTTTAATGATTTACATCTCGTAAAACAAATAATTACCCATGGATGTTCATACATACTTCTTATCTCCTGCTAAATCAAACTCATTATTGGACCAACTGAGTTTTTATCTTTGCGCTAAGTATTTTCACAGGTTAGGTAAGTTCAGTGGATAAAAATAAACGGAAGGTGAATGAAATTTGGAGGAGAATTTAAACTGCACAAAGTTCAGATGGAACAGTATGTTAAAATAAAAGCAGAGTGAGAGGGGAGAGAGGAAAACAAAATGTTTTAATAGACCAGTGGAAAACACGTGGTTGAAGAAAAGAAAAATTCATACATTACTGCTGGAAATAAACCAGGTTAGTGTTTTGCTGACCCCTGCAAGATTAAATTGCTGTTTGGTAAAAGTACAGAGGACAGATTGAGAAAACTTCCGTTTTAGGCAAATTGTGAGAAAACTGAGCAGAGTGGTTTTGATTTGTTGGGTTGTTTTTTGGTTTTTTTGTGTTTTTTGTTTGGTTGTTTTTTTAGGCGTTTTTGTTTGTTTTTTATTTTTTTAATCTGCATATTTAACTTAATTAAAATGAAATATGAAAGACCCAAATTAAGTGCATGCCCTCTTAGTCCTAGTGAAAAACCACCCTTGTTGAAGGTTGGCTTCAGTGGAGATTTGAGGCTTCATGTCCTGCTCCACAGGGCAGCAAAAGAGGTTTTCAAAATATGAAAATATAAGGATTTTTGTTCTCCATAAGAGTAGTGCTTCCAACGACATCTGCTGGTTCCTTAAAATCTTTGTAGTTTTAGAACTTACTATTCATGTATTTAGAACTTACTATTCATGTAGTCAAAATGCTTGTAATGTTGGAATACTGTTTTCTACAGTACTTAGTTTTACAAGGGTCAGTACTGGATATCAAGAACAAATTTTATTGAGAAACAAGGCTGCAGCACCCTATTACCTCAAAATGAATAGAACAGAAAGCATTTGCTTTTAGTATTTCATATGCTGTCTACTTGCATTTTTCTCTTTGCTCTGTTAAATGAGGCAACATTCAGATCTCAGTTTCTTTAAGATGGGTGGTCAGTTTCAAATAACTGTCTTGGTTTTTGTTTGGTAGTGTTTTTTATTAAGGTGATTTCAGGTATTGGACTTCTTTGACCCTCTGCTTCTTCAAAATTTATAAGGCCTTGTCAAAATTATGTAAAATTTGTTGTCAAATCATAGACCCAAATCACTGGCCCATAGACCTGAACAAAAGGCAGACATTGCCTTTAAGAAATACATTTTCCAGCTCTGTCTTGGAGTGGTATTTATGTCTAATTTAGTTGAATTGAATTTGAGTTGCATTGTCTTTTACAAATCGGAGGAATAAAATCTACTCTGAGGATAATTGCAATATTGAAATTATTGAACCCAGTGCTGCAGCTAGGTAATAAAAGATGCAGATTACTTGGCACCCAAAGCAGAACGCAGAACTCGCAGTTCTCTAGGTTTGCTTCTCAGCCCAGCAGGAGAGCTTTCCAAGAGACAGCCTGGAGAGCAGCATGCACCCCGAACAGGAGGCAGCTCCTGGGCAGCCTGAGCAGAGGGCACACACCTCCAGTCCTTTTTGAATCTGGGACTGTAGGGCTGGGTTGAGAATTGTTATTTCCTCTCATTATTTCCAACTGTTCTATAGGAATCAGTCTTCTAAATCATCAGGAGGGACAGAGTTCCACACCATTGCCAGGCACTCGGAGCAGCCCTCTGCTCACCTGCTGTGTGGAATGGCACTGCTTCCACCTACCCACAGCAGCTTTCAAGGCTCTGGACTTCCCATGCGAAGCTTTGGTTACTTTCTGTGCTTCACCCAGTGCATGATAGGAAATATAGGCAGAGAGTCTGAGACAGGGAGCAGGACAGACACTTGAGTGTTGGCCCAGATTAATTGATTAATCAATGTCAATTGCTGAATATATGTACAGTGCTTTTGCTTGGCTCTGGGTAAATCATGCTCTAGTTACGTAGTGTAATACCATTGCAATTCAGTGATAAAGTCCTGTTACATGATGGTATGTGTAAGAGGAGGTGCTAATTTTGGCTGTTAAACAGCAGTTGAACGTACATGTCTTATAAAATTTAGCTAGTGTCATCTCCTTAAAAGATCAGCTTTTTTTTTTTTTTTGTGTTCCTCATTTATTTAACTTTATTAGGATACCTATGCTGTAAGAGGGATGTTGTATCTTTCACTGCATGCTGAAAGCTAAGGAAACAGAGCGGTTTATTCTGCATGTGTTACCAAACACGTATTTAATGTTACTAACAAACATGTATGTCTTAACATTTGCCCAAAATGTAGAAGAACAGTTGACATTTTCAGAAGCAACACTCAAGAACACTTTTCATTATGAGCTGAGTTTTATGTATGAAGCAATGTACCACCATGAGGCTTTAAAGGGAATAAACTTAAAATGCAATGTCTCAATCCCTGTGTTTTTAATAACATTCTTGTAGCCAGTAATGAAGAATTAGGACATACCTGCCAACCTACATGAAGAAGCTAAAATACTTAGTGGGACTATGTGCATCCAAGAAGCAACTTCTACATTTTTACCATGCATTAGTGAATCGAACAATACAATGTTCTGTAAGGAGTTAAATTCTAAACAGCAAACTTCTATAAAACGGATAATCATCATTATTATTATTTAGTATCTTGTTTAAGGTAGTGATTAATTTTCATTTATGATTAGCATTGACAAATGTGATGAAATCCAAGTTGCTTTCCACATGCAGCATGTGTACAGTTTTATAGTTTCCTGTGTGGTTTTCACACTATTTTTTTTCATTTGTCAGAACTTAGTACATTAGATATGGGAGTTCAAAGAGTACAGTTACTTTAGTTACAAACAGCAGGACAGCAGTATTTTTTTCTGGTGGAATTTTTTCATTCAATTTTTAAGTCAGGATATGAAAATGATCAGGCTTTCTTTAAGAATGATTGCAAAAGCAGAGAACTACCTTCATCTTACATGGTGAGCAGGATCTTTTCTCCCTGTATTGTGCTTTTGTAATGGTCAAAATCATAAGAGGGGCCGGGAAAACATCCTTCAAGGCAAACACATGAGTAATTGTTAGGTGGTAAACAGGAGGAGGAGAATGCACATTATGGGAAGATATAACTCAACAAACTAAACAAAACATTCAGTTTTGTTTTGTGTATCAATAACTAGATACACCTTATGCTACTTTGAAGTAGCAAAATGCATTATACTAGATGATATGAGAATGAAATACATTCCGAGTATGAGTTGCAATTTCTTCCCTTACTCATAAAATCTGTTGTACCCCAGTGCTTTAAATCTTTAAAGCTTCAGTGCATATTTTGGGTAGGTGCATTTTTGGTAGGTGGTTCACATGTTCTGTTCTACGTGCAAAAGCAGCATCAGAGTGGTCGGTAACACTAAATGCACAGAGAAACATTCCAAAACCTTGTTTTTAAGGTGTTATTCCATGCTTTGGAACTCCCAGCACTGCCCTATGGTTTGAGCTTCTCTGTTGACCATGGGTAATACCATTTCAATGTGGAATGTCATTACCAAAATGATACAACAGTGCAGTTAAGTGTCATGACCTGGTACATTTTTGGAATAGAGGCAGATGTGTAAGCAAGAGTAATCGAAGTAGGGAGTGTTAAGTGCCTTCATTGAACTGTCTTGTTCATTGCCTAGTCTGATGAGAAGGGAGAGCAGGATCTGTGGGAAGGGAATTTGTCCAGTAGTGACAGACAAAGTGTTCCAGGACTCCCCTTCATTCCCTACTCCCTTGGATTTGGCTGTTGACATAGGTGTAAGTGTTTGGTTTGGAATCTTTCTTCCAGAGGGTTCATCAGAAAACAGGATGCAGTGCAGCATCTGTCTGTATCCCAGCGAGATAAAGCTGCCAAGGCTGGTTGCTCTGCCAGTCACAGTTGCAGGCGTGGGCTTCCAACTTCAGCACAGAGTGTTCACTCTTTCCTAGAACTTGCTAACAGCTGTCCTCTAGATAGCATTGAGCAATTATTAGGCTGAGGATGATAAGTATATTTATCTTCCGTTTTGAAAAAAATACATATAAGATTGAAATATGTTTTGTATACTCAACATGACAAGGAACAACTGTTGGATGTTTGCTTTACTGTATGTGTTTCTCACTCAATTGCTTTTTGCAGTATTTTGCCCCAAGATCTTTTAGACTTTTTTTTTTTTTCATTCCAGCTTTGCTTAATCTCACAGTCTGGGCTCGAATGCTACCTCGAAACAGACTTTGACAGTGCTACCTCTTTTAAAGAGGGACTTATTATTAGTAAGAGCTGATGCACAGCAAACAATATTTTAGCAAATATGAAATCTTTTATCTTTAGTGGACTTGAAACAATCAACAAAATTGTTGCTAATCTTACATATACAGGCATGCATGCACAGACACACTCAGAAACAGATACAGGCTTTCCACCTTTCCATAAATCCTAATTTCCTGTGGAAGCAATGATGCCATTGCTATGTTGGTGCCTCTTTGTTGGCTCACTAGTCACCCGTGGGTCCACTATGACCCAAATTTGAAGCTAGATGGTGGAATAAATAAGGTATCATTGAATAGTTGAACCAAGCCAGTGACTTGCTGGTATGAGGAGAGAAATAATTCCTCCTTTCCAGCCCAAACCTTGTGCATATTCCTGAGCTGGGCCCTTTGCTTCTGTATTACAAGGAAAGTGACCCAGGAAAAAAAGGAGTTGATTTCTGACAGTTTATCAAGATGGAAGGTTAAGGTGGGCACCCATGCTTGACCAAGGGAGCAGGTGGGGCTGCAAGACAGGAAATCAAAGGGACAATTGAATCCTGTCTCTTAACAGAAGCTGTTATATGTTTGATGTGCTTCATTTTCTCAATACCAGAGTTCTTACAAATCTCACAAAGAAGACAGGAAACTAGATAAGGAAAGAGATTATTACCAGGACTCCCAAAAATGAAAAAAAAAAAATGGAGTTCATGCTTTTTTTTTGGCACCTAAGATCTCAGGTATGGAACAGTCTTCCCAGGCTTCATCGATTCTGACACTGATTTTCACTATTCACTTTTAATTGTATTCTGGCAGTTTTCGGATTTAAAAACCTCAAAAGGTTTAACACTGTATTTCAAATTTGTGAAACAATGTTTTAACTCAGTGTTATTTGACCTGAATTCAGGGTAGCTTTGGCCTTCCTAATGTTGTTTCTTTCAGAAAGTTAACCGTTGCTTTGCTTTAATTTTCACTTTTTTCCAGTGTTAAAGAGTGATTTTTCAGGTACTCATTTATCTTCTCCTTTTAGTTTGATTTTTCCTCTGATAGGAATTCTTCTAAAGCATTCTTCCCATTTTAACAATAGTAATAGCAGGAATTAGAAAGAAAATAAAATTCCTAAATATTCCTTCCTAAATATTTGTTTCATCCACTGCCACCTTTTAATCTTCTCTTCTGCCTTTCTGGTTAACATTTTTCACTGTTTTGCTCCAACGAAGCAGTCTAGGATTATATGAAAAATCATTTTGATCTCCATTTTAGAATGTTCTGTAGTGGTATTGATAGATTTGCTTACTGTCACCTCAGGCTCTCACAAAAAGATTGTGTGTCACACTCCCTGAGCACTGACATGTGTTGATCTTGTACCACAGCCCTCAGAGCCATGCCTAGTGCAGCATGGAAAAGTGCAAGGAAGATCCAGGCAGTAACTATCAATGTATGTGGGATATCAGGGCAAAATATGAACTGTTAGTACAATGGGATTTTCTTAAGGTCCAGGAGGGCTTTTTGATGGTGCTGTGAGAAGTAGACTGCTGTAGGATTTTTCATGAAGAGTTGTAGTGGCTTTGTCTAAATCTCTAAGTACTGTTGAGTTAATAAGACCGAGTATTAACCCGTGTCAGGGCTTATCAGGTGGTTCAGAAGTTGGTGCAGGCCACTTAGCTTCACGCTGTTATGTTTAGAGAGTTTGCAGGAGTTTAAGTGACATGATTATGGTACTGTTAGGCTTGCATAATTGATATATGGATCAATTCATAAATCAATACAAGTCCTGAAATAGGGAATTATCGTGGGTAAAAGGATAAGGTATCTGAGGGGTTTGAGTAGCTCTACATCCAGCTGAGAGAGGCTTATTTTTATTTGTGATGATGAAGACAATCTCATTTTATCCCCTTGAGGATGCCCTTTACAAGGCTGTATATAGGGGCCATGTGGAAGATCAGCACATCAAAGAGTATCTTGGCTTCAAGGGTGGCCCAGTATAAGCTGATTTTATAAATCTGTGCATCTTTTGTTTGGGTGCCACCTATTGTAAATTGTACAAAATCTAATTCAGAATGGAACCTCATAGTTACCATTACAGCCATCAATGACCTACAAATTGAAATTCATATCTACACAGCATTCAAGTCTTTACAGAGTTTTTAAAAAGTGTTTTGAGATGTAAAAAAAAAATAATAAAAATTGATTCATCATTGTTCAGGAGAGAGGTACAGACTATTTTTCCTTCCACAACAGATTCTCTGTCTTTCTTTCCCCATCTTTCTTATCAATTTCATTATAATTCCCACTCCTGGGCTATGTGTACACTTTTGATTGACTGGTTTTATTGACTTTCACTTGTAAAGCAATAATATTCCGGGCCAGATAAGCATAATGCTGCATGTAGAGGAGCATGAGCAGAGCGTGACCGTTTGCCAGTCACCCGCTCTCCAGTTGAGAGTGTCAGTTTGCAGCTGCGTGCCCTGGAAGGGTCAGTGATATCTGACCAAGTTGTTTGCTTTGTAGATCTCCAAAGATTTAGAATATCTTTTAGGAACACCTAGAGAGATTGATGTTTGGCCCCGAGTAACTTGCAAAATTAGTTTTCAAGTAAACAGAAATGCAGATGAGTTTTTCACGTGAGAAGTAACACTAAAATCATGCTAGCATAATATATAGATTTGCTTTTCCCTACAAAAACCACATTATTTAGAGGCTGACAGAGAAAAAGGACTTAGTGTAGATCTATGTGCATTGTTCTGCTGGAATTGATGCAATTTATACCAAAAGATGAAAGATTTTTAAATAAAAACATACTCCAGGATGTATGTTACTATTAATGATGAGTTTTCTTTCTGTGATGACTTTGTGTCAACCACAAGGACAATATGAACACATTTGACTGTAATAATAGCGATTTTGTACAGGGGGAAGACTTTAATACAATTAACTTCCATTTATATACTGCCAAGACACTACAGAGAAGGTTTGAATGACTTTTACGTTTGTCTGTACCAGGAAAAGACATTGAGTTTAAAATAGTTCCCTACCTGCTGTGCGTTATTAACAATGTAGTTTGCCTGTTGACGGGTCTGTAGATGGCCATGAAGGTTATTGAAAGTAACTAGTTTTTACAAACATACAGACTGGAAAGACTGGGAGTCATTTGTGGGCTGTTAACTCAATACTTATAGATTAAGAGTAATTACAAGAGGAGATGTAGATATTCCCTGATTCTAGAAGGTGCTGATATTTATTTTTGTGTTTTTATTTTGTTCTTTAGTGAGATAGAAGATGAATTCAGCTGAAATCACTGATGATGATGAAGGTAAAATATTATGCTTCGTATAATTTTTGATCAGGCAGAAATATTTGTTGATTTAAAGTATTTGCCACCTAATAGAGAATGCAGTTGGATCAAGACAAATTACACTAATGTTTTTTTTAAAGTTTTCTCAAGTAGGGCATTATCTTTGTTAGTCTGCTCTACATCCTTCCTCCCCTCCAAAAAATCTTCCTCCTGTAACATTATTTGTTTATACTTTAGATTCTTCTTTGGACAAGAAGATGTCATTTATTGCAAAATGGAATGATTTGACTTTGAGGTGGCCCCAATATACACTTACCATAGAAGTAATAAATATAATGAAGTTCTTCAAAACACATTTTTGTAAAAAGAAACAAACCACAGACCATTATACTAAGGATGTCATGGTTTTCTGGAGAGGGTGCTTTATCTTTCTAAACATTCTCTTTTTTCAGTAAAAATTCCTAAAAAAAATGTGAAAGTAGAAACAGAAAATGATGATGAAGCTCTGGACTGCTCAGTAACCTCCAGATCAGCTGAGAAACACTCACTGGATGGTGCGGTGACTTGCCTACAGGATTCCAGCAAACGGAAACAGAGCTCCCTTGGCTGCGACGGGTCAGGAGGCCAGCAGGATGCCTTACCCAGCGTGAAGAAGAGACGCTTTACACAAGAGGTGACTGCTCCACACATGACTGTGATTTTTTGGTTCATATTTTCTAGGCTAAATTCTCTGCTGCTTTAAGTAGAATGCAAGTCTTTTAAGTAAATTTGCATTGGTAATGAGTTTGTTGCAAATGTGGCTAATCTTAAGCCAGTTTGCACACGGTTGGATGTTCTCTAAATAACATGGAAATGGTCATATTTATGAAATGCAGTTCATAGTTATAGATTAATTCATTTATGTGAATTATATTTTTGTTTTTCAGCAGATAACATAGGAAGGGGCAGTGACTTGGAGTAACTGGGCATGACTGATTACAGTCCCTCTCCTGTCACACAGTCCCTCAGCTTGATCCTGAGTGGTAGAATCAGGGCTGTGATTCTTTCTTCAGTGACAAAGATTTAATGTCAGTAAGACATTAAATAAAATGTATAAAATAATACAGTATAAATTACTGTATTATTTGAAGGATAAAAGTGCAGGGATGGAGAAGATTTCAGTTATATCAAGAGTGGAATGTATTACAGCATCTGATGTGGCATCCCAGCTTGGGACAATCCAGATGTTTCTCTAGCCAGTGAAGGAGATGCCCAGTCTTTTCCATTATCCTGATCTTTTGTTTCACCTCTCTAGTAATGGTGGATTTTAACTAATCTCTGCTGAAATTGAGCTAGCTTCTTTTTGTCCTTGTTCTTTTCAGTAGGGAGAGCAATGGTCATCTGTTCCTAGAAAAAGCTTCTGCATGTGGGAAAATTCATGTGATGTTGTCCACTCTCAGTCCTTCCTTTTCAAGATTAAAATTCTCTTTTTTTCAGCTCTTCTTCAGGAGTTACGTTATATTTTTGTTGTTCCATTTGAGAGTCCAGAAAGACTAGTGTCCAGTGTTGGATAGTAACATCTCTCCTGCCACCCTCTAGAGCAGTATAATGACCTCCTGTTTTTCACACTCAGCACTTTATTAAAATAACCTAGATTCAAATTCATCCTCTTTTGAATAACTTAAGGCCCTGGGTTATATTTAGTTTGTGACCTATCCTAATGCACGTATCCTTTTCTGCTCTTCTGCTACCTAGCCAGTTATTCCATGTTGTATTTGTAGATTTCATGTCTTCTTTATAGCCATAGTTCTCTGTGATTCTTTTTCTTGACTATCATCTCTCTGACTTCTTACGGCTGTTTTTTCCCCCTGAATGCCTGTGGTAGGTAGGTTTTAATCTTATTACACGGTTTCTTTCTTTTCCTTTCTCTTTTTCTTTTTACAATTGTTTTCCTTACATTCAGATTCTTAAAAGAGCTTTATAATGGTCTCTGAACTGTGCTTGCTTTGCATTTTCCTGTTTGCCATTAATAAATTTTAAAGTTTTATTTGAAATTAATTATAACTTTGGATTTATAATATCATAAGTTGACCCAGTAATAAGAATGAAAATTCATTCTTGGCTGACCCCAAAGAATCAGCATGTTTAGTTAAATAACCAACCAGAAATAGTCCTCAATCTTAACAGGATTTTTTAAGTTAATTACTTCTCTAGTACCAATATTTTGTTTTAATTGATGACTTTATTAACTATTTCTATTTAAACAGTGGAAAAATCTTCATTATTCTGAAGAATGTTGTGCTTGTATATTTTTACTGCACGTCATATAGGCATCTATCTATGATATAAACAGAGCTGTACTTTTGGGCTGGTAATTATATTACTAAATTACTTTTTATCTGAAGACTTCACTCTTTTTTTTTAATTTTGAGTGCCACTTCATAATCATGAATTAATTTTCCCTGATTTTCTTTCTAAAAAAATATGTAGAAGATTGTAGATTTTAAGAAGTTATGTGCTGGACTTTCCATATTTTTTTGTGCCTGACAGTATATGTTTCTTGCTTATGTATTTATTTATTCTTTACTTCTGTACTTGAATATTAAGCACGGTATTCTTAGAGATATTTAGACTTTGTTTATTGAGCATAACAAAGGTCATAAGTGGACTTGAGGATTAAGCAGAACAATAACTAAGCAACTTTTAAAACTTGGCTTAGGATTCCCAGGGAGTATGTGAGAGACTATTTCACAATTTCTTGTATTGGTCGATGTTTTGCAAAATACTGTACTTTGCAAACGTTCATAAAATGTTTAGAACATAAAAACTTGCTATGCAACTGTAGTATAAAAAGCAGCAGTGTCTTACATGCATTGAGCCTCATAGAACAATATCTTTGCTTCTTTTTTGATAGTACTTTAGAACTGATAATCTCAAATGGGTGCAGTATTATCTGAAATTCATGGATGTTTAAAGATCAGTGTTACAGAAAACTTATTAGTTAAATTGTACACTTTGCAAAAGCCATGTATTTATGGTGTTGATAGTGCTGTTCCCAGATGGAAATCATAGACAGGATAATTAAAAGCAAAAGAAAAGAAAATGAGAATGCATCTGAACTAAAATATCCTTAAATATTTTTAAGGCTCAAATGTTTTGTCATCTGTTGGGAGAATACTGGCTATATGTTTCTGAAATGCAAATATTCTGAAATGCAAATCCATCCCGCAGCCAGATCCAGGCGCTGGGAGCTGTATTAGTGAAGGAAGAGGAAGTTCAGCTGCTATCGTAGTGAAGATCTGCTGTAGTTCTTAGCATGAGCTCCAGAGCACCATGTCCAAAACTGAGACTGCAAACTTTAATGATCTTACTGTCAAAGTAACGAATTGATGTTCTTTAATACACATTCTAATATTGATTTAGCCTGACTGTGTGTGAGGGGCACATCAATAGAAGTTACCCTTATATTGCCAAGTTTTATTATTAATTAATTAGGGAAAATAAACAGCAGGAGGTCAAATGAGAACTGACAGATACCTGGTGGCCCGTGGCAAGCTATTTAGCAGCAAGGTATTTTAGTAGTAGAAGAGGAATTGAAAGAGGCATATGCTGTTTCTGAAGGAATATTTGGTATATTCTCAGTTAACAGGAGTGTTAATGAAAGAGCAACTTAGGAGGTAGGTCTCACTGGTTGTGTAAGAAAAGTTTTGTTTTGTTCTTTAGATGTAGAATAGTAAAAAGCTTTGTAATTCAGTTTGTGTGCCTGACTGGGGAGCAGTATTGTGCACACTGTCAGTGAGATTTTCATGGCCTGCTTTTAGGTGATGTCTATGCAGGGCTCTGTTACCACCTGGAACTTCCTCTGTTTCTTCACTGACAAGTACAGGTGGGGTATGACATCTTCAGTCCCAGCCTAGGAGGCTGGAGTTTGGTGGGGGCAGCATGGATTTCAGTTTGCTCACAGTTCGGTCGCTGTTCTGGCTTTGTTATGAGTGGGACTGGAGTGGGACAGTCTTCTAACCGGTGTCCTAGGCACCATGACAGCCAGGGATTCTGCACACTGAAATGCATCTCCTTGGCTTTACACTTTCATTTGATCATCTCTTCACACAGCTTTTGATGTGCAAACACAAGGTTTTGTATGTAGGGTAATGTGATGTGAGTGAGAGCAGTACTTGGAAACAGCTTCAGTTTAATTGAATGCTGGTTTCTAAACTTGGAGTGGAAACCAGCTTGTTCTTTCTGAGTCTCCTTTGAGTATACATTGCATTAGAAATTAAAAAATAATTAGATTCAATTTGTCACTGCAGTAAGCAGATGCCAAGTATGAGTACACATAGGGACCACATTGATTTCATGACTTACAGTTCTGTTTCTTAAGAAAGAAACCTTAATTCAAGTTCCTCATTGTAGGACATAATGGGGCCTTCACTAGAATTTCAAATTTCTTGTGGCTCTCAGCTCAGACCTGAAGTCTGTGTTTCATTTGTTTTAATACTTGAATGCAAATTCTGTAGTGTTTTATCTAATTCATGTTCTATAGAACAAGCCAAGAAAATTGTTTCAGTATAGAAACATCTACAAATCTCAGAGTATTTTCTCATGTTTGAATTCTTTATGTTGGATTTTGATTCTGTTGTATCTGCTTAACTTTTAAGAATTATTTGCAATATCCATGTGTTTGTGAAAAAAACCCCAAATCAAGCCCTGCATATCTACTGTGAGATGATGAAAATGCTTGGTTCCAATTTCAAGCAATGAGGAATAAGTACAAATAATTGGAACATTAAGTCCTCAAGAATTCATTACGAGTTTTATATAATTTATAAATTATATACATTTCTATAGTTTAAATAATTTAAAAAGTTAGAAATCCATGAGTCTAAACTTCCTTGTCTTTCAGAAATAAAGAAATCTTCTGTTGGGCTTCCTTTCAAAAAATATATTGTACCAAGCTACTTTCCACTTTTTTATTATTTAAATAGAATATCTTTTAAAAATTAATAAATTTCTAGGATTTGTTTAGTACTTCTGCACCATTATAAAGAATTTTTTTAAAACATATATAAACCTTTCACATCAGAAAAAAGGAAATAAGCATATTTTTTGTGGTTTATAGCCTTTGTGACATTTTCAAAAGCTAACCTAAAGAGAGTGCTGGAATGTTAAATGCAGTTGTTGGAGGCAATGGCAAGGTCACAGGACTAGGAGTCAGAAAATCTAGATGCTATTCTTGGCTCTGTTGCTGACTTGTTGCCACCCAAATTCTTGACAGCCCAAGATCCTCATATCCAAGGTGAAGCCTAATGATACTTAATTTGGGAGAGTAATTAGAGCTCTGTGGGTAGAGAGTACTAAGAATTATTATTGCATTTCTATTCCATGGGGAAAGCTATGAGCCAAAAAAAAGGAAAATAAAAAGGAAACCTAAATAATTCTTTACTGTATTTTTATTTCTCCCAGTGAAATTATTAATTTTTATTGTTTAACACAAGTCTCCTGGAGAAAATTTGACTTTGCATATTTATGTAACAATGCCTGCTTAAGGAGCACATATTTATAGCTAATATTTTTAAGGGAGTGTTACTAATACAGTATTTATTCATTTGAAGGGCTCCCTTTCAAACATGAGGAACAGAGATGCTGGCTCACCCACAAATGCAGAGCAGCCAAGCAAGAACAAGAATTCTAATGTAGCATGGCTCTGTGAAGAAGAATCTTTCAGTGACATAATCACTCCATCTTATAAGAAACCTCTCTATGGCATCTCACACAAAATCACAGAGAAGAAGAACCCACCAGGAGCAGAGCAGTTTGCTTCTTATGAGTTGTTTGAAAAAATCAACCCCAGCAGTCCCTCACAAATTCGGACTTTGAACGATCAACGCAAAAGAGACTCAGCCATTGCAGCAGTGGCAGCATCAGCAGATTCAGAACCAAATATATATTCTTTGATACAGAAAATGTTTTACACGCTGAACACCCTCAACACCAATATGACTCAGCTTCACAGTAAAGTTGACCTGTTGTCTCTGGAGGTTAGCAGAATTAAAAAGCAAGTCAGTCCAGCAGAGTCTGTTGCTGACTTCAAGCCTCCCCCGGAGTACCAGCTGACTTCTACGGAACTCAAACAAATCATGGATCAAAGCACATCGGGCGGAGACCTGGCTTGCCGGTTGCTGGTGCAGCTCTTCCCAGAGCTCTTCAGTGATGATGAGTTTGGCAGGAGCTGTAGTGCATGTGGCTTTCTCAACAAAAGGAAACTTGAATCTCTTCATCTGCAGCTTATTCGTAACTATGTGGAAGTTTGTTATCCTTCTGTGAAGAATACAGCTGTGTGGCAGTTGGAGTGTTTGCCTCAAGTCAATGATTTTTTCAATAGATTTTGGGCTCAAAGGGAAATGGAAAACAGTCAGCAGAATGTGCAATCATCCAGTTTTTATGAGACTGAGCAGGTCGAATCCTCTCATTTTATGGAGGATAAAGAGCAGGAAGAAGCTTTGTCGTTGGACAGGAGTAATGTCATTGCCTCAGATTATATGCTGGATGCTCAGGATCTCAATGAATTTTTAGATGAAGCTTCTTCACCAGGAGAGTTTTCTGTTTTTTTGTTACACAGACTGTTTCCAGAACTCTTTGACCACAGAAAATTAGCTGAAAGGTACAGCTGCTTTGGAGACTCTGGAAAACAACTGCTGGATCCTCATCGGCTTCAAATAATCCGTAGGTACACTGAAATTTACTTTCCAGACGTGCAAGAAGAGGAAGCCTGGTTGCAGCAGTGTGTTCAGCGAATAAATGATGAGCTTGAAAGTACGTATATGGATGGAAGTGAATGTGACCAGATGAGAGATGACTGTTATGATTCTTCTAGTTTACCAGATGATGTATCAATCATAAAAGTGGAAGACAGTTTTGAATATGAAAAGCCTGGCAGACGGTCCAAAAAAATTTGGCTTGTACCCATAGATTTTGACAAACTTGACTTTCCCCCTCCTGATTTTGATGTCCCTGTCCCAGATTACCTGTTGAACAAGGAACAGATTAAAAGCATATATGAAAGCAGTCTTTCCATAGGCAACTTTGCTTCCCGATTGCTTGTTCTGTTATTTCCTGAACTATTTACTCATGAAAACTTACGGAAGCAATACAACTGTAGCGGATCTTTAGGCAAGAAACAGCTTGACCCCACTAGAATTAAATTAATTCGACATTATGTGCAGATACTGTACCCCAGAGCAAAGAATGACAGAGTGTGGACATTAGAGTTTGTTGGGAAGCTTGACGAGAGGTGTCGACGAAGAGACACGGAGCAAAGGCGCTCGTACCAACAGCAACGGAAAATCCACGTGCCAGGGCCCGACAGGAGGGAATTTCTCACCTATGCAATAAACCCTGAGAGATTTCGGGAAGAATTTGAAGGGCCGCCACTGCCACCGGAAAGAAGCAGCAAGGATTTTTGCAAGATACCACTTGATGAACTTGTTGTTCCTAATCCAGACTTCCCTGTGCCTTCTCTGTATTTGCTGTCTGACAAGGAGATAAGAGAGATAGTGCAGCAGAGCCTGTCAGTCGGCAACTTTGCTGCCAGGCTTCTTGTAAGACTCTTCCCTGAACTCTTTACTCCAGAGAATCTGAGACTGCAGTACAACCATTCAGGTGCTTGTAATAAAAAACAGCTTGATCCCATCAGACTGAGACTGATCCGTCATTACGTGGAGGCAGTTTATCCTGTGGAGAAAATGGAAGAGGTGTGGCATTATGAATGTATACCGAGCATCGATGAAAGGTGCCGGCGTCCTAACAGAAAAAAGTGTGATATACTGAAAAAAGCTAAGAAAGCAAAAAAAGTGACAGGCTCTTTAAACTGCTAAGACTTTGACCACTAAATTATTGTCAAAGAGTATGCTTTGGTTTAGACAGAAGGGCCTGTCAGGAGCTGAGGGTTCTCAGCACCTGGGACAGTCAGGCACTAAATTTGTTGTGTGTCAGTGTGTGTGTTGCATTTCTGTTGGCACCGCAGCAGTGGGAAGTGGCTGACTACATTTGTACATGGGTAAAGACCATCAGTGACAGCTATCAATGACTCGCTAAGAGCGTGATATTCACTGGTGCAAATACATGTATTGAAACTATTGCTCCACTCCCCATTTCTGCATCTTCCTTTTCTATCACTTTCTGATAATAAAGAATTTTTTTTATGGTTGTGCTCTTCAAGAGCAGTTTTACATTATACCATTAGAAACAGTATTTTTAATTAATTCAGATTTTCAAATGTGTAGACTAATTTAAATTTGAATGTGCCATTTCCATTGGAAATCATTGGAATATTAGACTTTGCTTTTACAGTAACTTCAGCTTCACACTTGTTTTGTTCTTCATGATATTGAGGTACTGGAAGTTATAACACTGTGTCAAAGAGTGGGTCAGAATGGTGTCATTTGCATTTTTGACTGTTACATTGGTTTTATTTCTAAAATCAAGAATTTCTGTTGAAGAATTGAGACATGAGCATAGACACCGTGGGAATGGGTTTTTTTTTTTTTGCACTGACACCACAATGTGTGTGATGTCAATGCAAAAAATAATAACTCACTCACCCCCGTGAGTTCTGTTATTGTTTTGTCCAGTGTAACTGCTGGAGTGTCTGAGGATTGCTTGTCTTGGGTAAAGCCACCAAAACAGATCCAAGCCTATACCCATGGAATATCTTCCCATCATCTGCTTGCCACCCTGTTTGTAAAATAGCAGAAGCAACAGCAACATCAAAAAGACCTGAAACAATGACTTAAAAAAAATTTTAGACCTTACTTTCTATCAAAATCATGATTCCAAAGGTTTCCAGTGTTGATATTGAATTGCATATATAAAAAGTATGTGCAAAGATTGGTTTTGTGGTGAAATCCAGTGTTTCAGGGTCCCAGCATATGAGCTGTGGCAATGTAACTTACTCTTTCCATGAGTGCAACAGCATCTGAATATTTGGGTGTAGGGATATGGAACTCCCTCACTTTGCCAAATTGTTTTAGTGTAATTAGTAGCTATTTGGAGACATAACTGTGTATGTATAACTTAGGTTCATATGGTCAAGTTTGCATCATTAATATCCTCAAATGTAGCAAAGATCATCCAGAACCCAACATGAATTTGCTGTGTGACTTGTCACTGGAGAGTGCTGCTTTAAAACTAGTTTTCTCTTAAAAAAAAAAAAAACAACTGATAGAAAGGGTGAGAGAGAGTCAGTAAAGACAGTGGTTGCCTACAGAGCATCACTGGAACACCTTGGAGCAATTGTTGATGTTCTCTGTGGTCCTTTCTGTTGTTTACTTAGATGGGTCATAGCAAATTTTAAGTCAGTTCCAATGTAATTTTCTATTTTAGCATTTTTAAGGAAGTACAAAATATTTGATATTTTTACTTCAGATTTTTAGAATATATTGTTCGTAGACTCATATTGATCCCTTTGAAAGGAAAACAAAATGGTTTTTCCTGGTGGCAAGAACTAGTAAACGTATTGTGTTAAACTGGGAGTAAATCATAGTTAGTAGCATTTGCTCATTTTGCCCATATGCTAGAAACATTCTCAGAGAATGTATGAAAAAAAGTCATGAATGTACTAAACAACACATTGATACTGTTTATATCCATTTAAATGTTTCCTGTTGGTTTAAGTAATAGCAGACCATACTCAAAATGGATATCAGAGCAAATACGGCTATAATAAATTGAAATCATTTTACCAAAGATAAAGAACTGATACCACAATGTCTGCATGTGTTCATTTTAGTGCATAAATTTGTCAAATTGAATGTATCAGAAACCAAGATTCTCTTGTCATTGTCATTGTCTAGAAACTCTGTGAATTTTTTTACATGCACTTTTATAGGATATATAAAATAACAGAAGATCTTAACAGCTGTTTAATTTGTAGTTGCAAATGGCTGGCCAAAAGGTAAGAAACACAATTTTATTTTCTTATCCTAATGTCATATGTTTCACCACTTAGAGATGTCAAAGCTTCCAGAAGAATTCAATATATATTGAACTTTTTTACAAGGGATAGATGTTACTAGCTAGCATGCAAGTTTGAGACATACTGACTTTTACTGTAGACATTAATATTAAGTCATAAAATCAGTCAATTGATATTATCTAAAAAGTAGTGAAAGAAAGAATTTGACAACTTTGATCATAAAAATGATAATTTTTGAAACTGGGTGTAAAAATATTTTTGTTGTGTTTTTTTTCTCTTTTTACTGCTGTGTACATTCCTTTTGTCCAGCTCTTCACAACCCTTTCATGATTCGCTTGGTTGTATGATTTATAACTGATGTCAAGAAAATACAGACATATAAATAGTGGCATAGTTCACTAACACAAGCTCTTGCAGTGCATGTGAAGTACAGCCACGTCATCCAGTTGGTCAGTCTTGTAAATATATTAAAGGTATATTATTTTCATACAAGAGGAATGTTGTCTGGTGATTGTTCAGGTACAAGCAGGATTATTTTCCTATTAAGTCTCTTACTAAGGTCTGAGATAACCTTAGGTAGTTGGACAAATACATAAAGGAAAACACCCCAGTTTGCTGCAGCCATTTAAAAAGATTTTTCTGTCTTTCAGACTTCTTCTGTTTAAAAGAATAAACTTAAAATTTTGGAAGTGAAGCTGTGATAGGAGAGTTGCTAGATATTGAAGTGTTGGGTGCATAAATAGCCATGCACACTGACTTCCTATGGATGAGCGTTACTTTCTACCTACTCAGTTAAGGTGGGTGTCAGGTGTCTCTACTTGTCACAGTGTAACTGTATCAGCTTTCAGTAAGTATTGAATTGCCCATTTCTCAGCTTTCTAAAAGAAACAGTGTAGTATTATTTATTTTTGCATCTTATGCATTTTCTACAACTTAAACATTTCTGTAGAAGTTCTGTAAAAAATACAAAACAACACATAAAAGAGAGGTGACGTATACATCAGTTTACTGCCTGTTAAGTGTATTCAAGTGACAGAATCAACAACAAATGCGTTGGCAAATGAGAAAAATCTTTACTTGAAATCACTTAGTTAAGCTGAGGCAGTGCAGCCAACAGTGTTTCATGTTCTAAGAAATGTTAGTGACTTTTTAAATTCTCTTCAAAATGCATATAAGTTTTTTCTAGATACATTTTAAAAATGCTGTCATTTGTCTCTTTTCAATTATTATTTGATATTTATGCTGTAGCAGTGAGAAACAGAATTGTGTGCTCAATGCTCTACAAGGGCACACCAGGTCTAGTTTCATGCTGGAAGGGGCTAAGATGAATACTATATCCCCAAGAAGCCCAGAAAATAATGTACAGGTTTTATTTATAATTTATTTTCATTCAGATTTCATTTTGCTGATTAAAGCAATGTGGAACAGCTGGAAAATTCAATGTCTTAAGCTTGCTTTGAGAAGCATAAATTGCCAAGTGCTCTTACTTACAAAAGTTTTAGTTGATTGCACTTAAAATTTATGGAAGAACAAATGTGGCAGGTTTTTCTGAGTAAATTAAACAAACTCCATCACTGTCATTATAAACATTTCTTTACTGCCTTGGTTTGATTTCCTGATTTTTTTTCCATTATTACTGCAAGTCAGCACCAATGGAGTTACAGATTTTTCCTCAGAAACATTTTGAAAGTATATTTTTTTAATGTGCCTGAAGTTGATAAAAATGAATAGATGAAGTTATGGTTTAGTTTCCTCTTAATTCTCTCTTAAAATTGACTTTGCTAAGAAAGGCAGAACAAGCAAGAAATACACATTTGTCTTCATCCTTTCCTACCTACTTTTTTTGTTGTAGTAAATGCTAAGACAGATAAATTTCTATTAGTAATAGTGCTTTCAAACCCTTATTTTGCCCTAAAATTCATTCATCAAAACTTCTCACTGGTAGTAATAGTCTTAATTTTTTATAGAAGTGTCTCACAGAATACATAATGCCTGTGTTTGTTGGAACTCACATAAATCCTGTTCTGAGAGGTCATCTCTCCTGCAGCAGGGTGCCAGCTGAAGGAGCTGCCCTGGCTTTGCCAGTTCCAGTGCTGGAAGCAGATGACTCCTAACAAAATCAAACCTCCATCACATTCACATTTTCCTTGTACCTCATCTGACTGGCAAGAGATAAACCCTTACGCTGTATTATTTTTACCCACCATATTCATTTTCATTATTGTAATTTTCTGGATGCTGTCATTTCTAGCTAATGGCCATGAAAGCCTGTGACATGAGCAGACCACTTGCTTTCTCCATTTCTTGCTTTGTTACATCATGGAACTGTGGTCCCCACTGAGCATTTTTCTTTGATTAACAATTCAGAAGGAAGAACTTTGATTCCCTTGGGAAAGGAAGAATTCTAATAGAAGAGAAATAAAGCTGTTCTTTTCCCACTTCTCCCCTTTCTTACCCACACCCCAAGATGAAATTGAGTAGAGCAATTTTTATGTATGTTTTTAGCTATGGTTTCCTTAATTTCTGTTTTAAAATTTAGTGAAAGTGACTTCCCAGTCATAAAATGGGTGAAATCATTACATGTCCAATCACACTAAAATTGATGTTAATAGATGGAAAGAAATCGTTACTGGGTATTGGAGGAAGATTTGTATCTATACACACAGAACACACACACACACAAATTCCAAGTAATCACTCCCAATTTCCTTCACAAATTTCATTATAGCAAAGCAGCTGTTTATCCTTGTTTCCAGGGGAATTTTGTAGTCTTGTGTGTTAGGGGTCATTTCTCTGGAAGGCAAAATGTTCCTTTAATTCCTTTCAGGAATGTCCCACTTTGGTGAGCTCATATGGTGGTGTGTTAGCAAGTTCTACAAATGTTTCCTGTGAGAAGAAAATCCTAAGGTAACCATCAGCAGTGGGAATGAGTCACTTGATAGGATTGCATCCTACATTTGAAATCTGACCCTGTGTATAAAACCAAGAGTTTGATGTTATGTCATGTAATGTTGTCCCTTGTCTCTTACTCCCTATCTCTCCTTGTTCCAAGAGTTCAAACAAAAGAGGGTCTCCCTCCCTGTAGTGCTTGTCTGTGTTCAGAAGCACTGGAAACCAGTAAATTTTAGCTTCAGTAGTGCTCAGATGTGCATGGCTCACATGCATCCCCCTTTGCATTCCTTTCCCTTCCATGCCCGAGCACTGTAATTTGGTAGGTGCTGAAGGCAGACTGTCCTGTTCTGACATGCCATTACAGGAAAAAAGCAACCACCCCCAAGAAACAAAACAACAAAAAACTCAAACCAACCAACCAAACCACAAACCCAACTCCCCATCAGAAATACTTGGGTGCTTTTCTGTTCTAAGAAAAAAATAATTGCTTATTATGTGTGGCCAGAGGGGTTGGGGAATGCACCCTGCCTCTGTCAGTCTGTAGGCAGCAGAACTCGGAGCCTATTCAGGAGTGCCAGTATATGCCTGCTTTAGTTGACCAGGCTCTCTTCTGCCAGACCCAAGTCCAACTCCTGTGGGAGCAATTCCCCAGTATTCCTTCACAGGGCTCTCTGCTCCGTAATGCAGGCTGGCCCACATGCAGCAGGTTCTGCAGCTGTGTAGCACTGCTCCTGCAGCAGGTGAGACACACAAAGCTGCCAGGTAATGCTGCAGGCTGTGCCAGGGACAATGGGCTCCTCCACCCACAGTCTGGCAGTGCTTGCCTCTTATGGGACCAGGCAAAGTCATCTGGATCAGATCATCGGTCTGTGCAAGGGCAGGCAGGCTGCACATTCCAGGTCCATTCCTTGACATCCAACATGAAAGTGGGTTTGCCTGTGATTAATGCAGAGGTGGCTTGGACAGCACAGTCATCTGGGCAGCCTCCTGTGAACTTGTCAGTCACTTCTCAAGCTCTCCAAGCCTCCCCTTTCCACCTCTCAGCAAGAAGAAGCCCTTACACATAGTTCCTCCACCACACAGAGTGGCTGATCCCCAGATCAGTTTCTGTGTTTTTTACATGCCCCCCAACAAAAACTGTGGAAGTGACATGCCTGTTCATACACCTCCTAGAACATATTCTGACCCTTCTTTGGGTCACAGTTTTAGCTCACATGATATTTAAAGGCTGCACAAACAAGTGCAACTTGCTTAGCAGTGTCTGACCCCAATAAAAAGGTCTGATCAATAGAGAAGCTTATCCAGGACAGATCAATGTAGCCAAGTGGAACAGCTACTCACCTTCCTGCTGTCATAGTTTTCCTCTGAGATCACCCTGCCTTGTGACTGAAGCTTTCTATTTTGAAGCACATGGGTACAGTTCCCTCTCCAACCATTTCAATCCTGAAACCACAGAGGGCTGTCTCATGCATCACAGGACTCCTGTAAGAAGTCTGCCTTTCTTTTCCTTAGCTCATACCACTGGTGGATTAACACTTCAAACTTCTGAAAGCCTGTTTCTACCTTCTGCTGTCAGTGAGGGCCCGGTTTTGGTGGCAGTCATAGAATCACTGAATTATTTGAGCTGGACAGGACCTTTGAAAATCATCTAGTTCCAACTCCCTGCCATGGGCAGGGACACCTTCCCCCAGACCAAATTGCTAAAAACCCCATCCAACCTGACCTTGAAGACTTCCAGGGATGGGAGATAATTGGGTGCATTGTTTCATTGTCTCACCACCTTCAACATTAAAAAAAAAATCCCTATACCCAATGTAAATCTATCCTCTTTCACTTTAAAACCAGTGCCCCATGTCCTGTCTCTACAGGCTCTAGTGAAAAATCTGTCATCATTAGGAATAGGCTAGGTCTTGATTGCTTGTGCTCTTGTCTACTTGGGTTTCCAAAAGGCTTTTCCAGAAGTCAAAAATTTAACTTTTTGGCACAATAGTGTATTTATATTCTGTTCAGTTCAAATTACCTTGCTAGGTGCTCTTTGTTATGCTAATGGCTCTCAGGGATGCAACTGCCCTGCTCATCTTGGATGCCAGGAAGGTGCTTTTTGTTGTTACTGTTTTAATCCTGCATAGAACAGACCCTTTCAGAAAGTTAATTTCTTCACATCCCTACCTTAGCTACTCCCAGGCCCCAGAACATTCCTGGCATTTTTTGAGTGGGGTCTTCCTCTGGTCCTGCATGCTCTGGTGTAAGCTACGACTGCTGGAGGTGACAGGGAGTGTGTACATGCTGACAAGCATTTGACAGGTTGCTGACCAGTAGCTGGAGCTCACTGACATATTACAACACACCCCTCTACTTGTTTCTCTCAGCACCCCTGGAGATTATGGCAGCCATTTAGAATAGCAAGAATAAGTGGAATTGGGGAACAGAGGATGCATCTCATTTATTTCCATTGCAGCTGCGCAAGTGCCAACGGAGTGGTGACAGCAATGCCCACAATGAAAGTACAGCCCGCTGTCTTCCTCTGGGTGCTCTGCAGAGTCCCTTCACTTCTGCAGAGTAAGGATCACTAAAA